CAAGGTCGATGAAGAAGTAGAAGAATTATTGAAATCGGGACTAATAGAAGAAAGTAATGCAAATAGCTCATCCAGTAGTTTGTGTAAGCAAAAAAAATGGAGACATCAGATTGTGCTTAGATTATCGAGCTTTGAATGCAGTGGACGAAGCCAGATGACTTTCCTATGCAAAATGCCATTGATTTAATGTACAGTATAGGAAGAGCCAACGTCATAACAACTTTAGATTTGCTGAAAGGATATTGGGCAATTCCCATGGAGGAACAAAGTAAAGAGTACACATCGTTCAAAACTCATCGAGGTCAATATCAGTTTAAAGTGCTACCCTTTGGATTAAGGAACGCAGCAGCAACTTTTCAGAGAGTAATGAATAACGCGCTGAAAGAATTTCAACAATTTTCAAGAGCCTATATTGATGACATAGCTATATTTTCCACGGATTTCGACACTCATCTCCGACATCTGGATAAAGTTTTTACCAAACTAGAGTCACTTGGATTTACTATCAATTCGAAGAAATGTTCGTTTTTGCAAAACCTCAAATTAAATATTTAGGACACATCATTGGATCAGGAAAACATCAACCAGATCCCGAGAAAATAGAGGCAATCAAGAAGCTGGAAACGCCGAAAACGAAAAGAGATCTTAAAAGTATGTTAGGACTATGTAATTATTATCGCGATTATATCCCAGGGTATGCAGAGATCGCCTACCCACTCACAGAACTCACGAAAAATAAACAACCGGAAATACTCGAATGGAAAGAAATTCATGAGTCAACATTTCAACAACTGAAGGAACGATTAGCGATGTCAACGGAGCTGATCACCCCAACACTGCAGGATCCGTTTGTCATTCATTCTGATGCATCCCAAATCGGAATAGGTGCATGTTTGTCACAGCAAAGGGGAGAGAAGCAATTTCCCATCTGCTACGCGAGCAAGAAATTATCGAAACCTCAACAGAGCTGGCCGACTATAGAGCGCGTGAAGCTTATGCTATAGTATGGGCATTGAAGAAGTTTGAACCTTGGATATTCGGTTCATCGGTGAAAATTGTGACTGATCATAATCCTCTAGCCTTTATAGTGAGAAATGCTCCGCAATCGTTCAAATTGCAACGCATCATATGGCGCAAGCGATGGGCCAGAGCTTTGCAAGAAATATAATTCTCGAAACAGAACATTGCCCTGGAAAAAAACTGTCGAACGCAGATGCATTATCCAGACTTCCCCACCTTGTGAACTTTGAACATTAATTTACTGTTCATCTTCACGAACATTTTGTATAAGTTAATAATTAGAGTAGTTTTCTTTGCTTTTCATAATCATTTTACAATTTTGTGCAAATAAGATGTTTATGTAATTTGAAATAGATAGAGAAATTATTGGATAACAAATATTCGAGGTAAGTGGTAAATTTAGATATTTTTTCTCCAAGGATTTAAATCATGCTGCAGCATCATTAATTAAAAGGAATGTTAAGAATATAATTTTATATATATATAAGAAACTTAATAATTTTACTGTCATCATTGGAATAATACTAGGGTATATTTTAACATGTTTATAAAAGAAAATATCAACTTGGTTTCTTTCTTTGAATTAAGAATTGATAAATTGTTACAATAATAATAAGGTTCGGAACAAGTGAAGTTAAAAATGATTTATCTATGTTTTTATATAAAAAATGTGTTATCTATGTTTATGTAGTAAATTGAGGTATGTCTAGTAATTTGAGATTTGAAAATTAGGAGAGAATGTATAAAGTATATGTAGTTTTTTTTTTTTTCTTTTTCCACGTTGATCGCAAACAGTTGCTAGTTTTAGTTTCCAGATTGCTGATTGATTTGTAAATAATATCAACAACAATCTTACGACGGGGGTGTGATATCTGGCGACTGTTTGGCGATCAACAGAGCATGTTGGCGTAGGTAGCTCTTCTTCGAGAAGGGTTAATGTATTTATTAGGAGTTGCATGTTAGCCTCGAAAGAAGGTAGTAGATTGTACTAGCGGTAGGAGCGACGTACTGCTCTGAGTACTATTATATTATATTTGAATTATATATTTAATAAATGTTTGTTTCATCTTGCTAAATGGTGCCTTATTAAACCATGAAGTCATCACAGAGAGCAAGCAAAAAGTTTTTGTTTACAAAATAATATGAGGACGCATTTAACAACCTGAAGGAAGCTTTAACATCTGCTCCAATCCTGACGTATCCTCTCATGTGAGCAATGAAAGTGTCGGGGCTATTTTGTCCCAAGAAATAAACGGCGAAAAACGTGTGGTGGCCTACTACAGCAAGTGCCTATCTAGATCGGGGAGGAATTACTGCGTCAAGACGAAAGAGTTGTTCGTCATAACTAAAACCGTAGAACATTTCCATCATTATCTCCGTGGCAGAAAACTTCTCCGAATGAATCATGCATCGTTGACCTGGCTTTGGAATTTCAAGAATCCTGAAGGTCAAATAGCCAGGTGGATACAAAAACTCCAGTAATATGATATCACTATTCCTTATTAGAAGAGATCATCACATAGAAACGCCGAACGCCCTGTTTAGTAGACCTTGTCCAGGAAGATGACGGTATAATTCCAGGGTCGAGGCGAAATACGAGCTGCTGAATCCGGCCGTATGATACGTTACAACTTCAACATCAGCTGTCGAAACCCGTGAAGTGATGATGAGCTCAGGTAAGACCAGCTGGAAAGCGGCGACATTAAACCCATAATTGATTTAATAGTCTTGAAACAGAAAACACATCAGGCAGGACATTTCGATCTATAGTCCTATGACAAAACAATATTGGGATCTCTGGGACTCACTCCACATTCGAAACGGCGTCTTATACCGAAAATTTGAATCGGATAATGGAAAGGCTTTCGGATGGCAGCTGATACTTCCAAGATCCCGGACGTCCTTAAAGAACTACATACCAGCTCTACAGGAGGTCACTTCGGAATAACGAAGGCTTTGCAGAAATTCAAATCAGAGAATGGAAAGGCTTTCCGATGGCTACTGATACTTCCAAGATCCCGGATGGGTAAAAGTTTACAATTGGGTGCCCCTTGTTTCTTGGCGATTCTTTTTTGACGCCAAGATCGGCGCCAGGAAGGCACAATTTCAAGATGGCCGCTACACAAAACCAAAATACTGCACAAACTCTGTGTCCATGTACAGCTGGTGGCCGTGCGAAGAACTGCCGTGCGTCGCTGTTTTCACGCTCCTCAATATTCGCCATTTTTCACGTAAGTCCTCATAATTAGGTTGAGTAAATCATACCATACTATTGAGGAAGCCAAGACATGCGTTTTTGATATATGGATTAAGCCTGTATCATCCATACGTAAAAAGTTATTAATTAATTTCTAGTTTACTCGTGGAGCCCTTTGTGTCCGCCATTGTTCATGCAAGGGAAACAACATCGCTTTTTAGTCCATCATTTACTCTCAAGATTTTATATCACCGGACGCGCAATCGTGTCAGGTTTTCCTTGGAACTATTTTCGTAGTGATCAGATTATTATTACGTTAATTACGTAAGATTATTTAGCTAGCACGTGGTGTGATGAGTCATCTGTGAAATTGCAGGAAAAGTACGGTTTCATCCCTGAACGTATTGCTAACTAGACAAAGAGCTCCAAAGAGATAGAAAAACTGGTGATAACAAAAGGTACTAGTGGTTTCTTCATCAGGCAGTTTCTCCAGTTTTTTTTACAGCCCCTTTTTTCATGAAAAAAGATGGACAACAATCAGCGGAAAATGACGATTAAGGATTTCTAAATTAAAAGATTCTCCGTCAAATAGCTCAGAAAATATAAAATTTGGCTATTTTCTCCCTTCTACCCTGGAGAAAATCCCACCGCAGCAATCCCCACAAGGAAGGAATCTACAACGTTCCCCTTGCCCCCAGGACCGTCACCACCGGAAAACCGGTGGTGACGCCAGGACCTCTTACGAACAAAGAGCCTCTACCACTACGTTTGCGGTTTTTACTGACAGTGGATATTCCTCAATTGTGCAGTTACTCTTTATTCAATTAGAAAACGGAAACAGGACAGAGAATTTCCCTCTCAAGTCTTTCAGAGAACTTTAAAAAGTGAACTTTGCATCTCTATCGGTCATCTACTTCAATTTTAGTGCTTTTGGTGAAATTTTGATTTTAGTAACAGCTTGTACAGACTCTATTTTGTGTGATAAGTTTAGTGTTTCATTGTTTTCGCACTTTTTTCTTAACAAGAATTGAGAATTTTCTCTCTTGGAGATAGTCTAACTTACGGAAGAAGAAGTACTGCTACCAAGGTAGGACTTTTTACTCTTTCGTCCCCGCTTCTCATTCTCCTTGCTTCTGTAATTGATTAATTATACCACAGGCATTGCATAGTTTAATAACAAAAAATTCATGATGCTTAACTTAATATATATTCGGCCTAACATTTTTCATTTCATTTTACCAATGTTTTTAATAAGTTACATTCTTATATTAGTTTACTTTTTCATTTATTGCACTGAATAGAATCTATTTGTTCTTAACATTCTATTATTATGTTTGTACTTGTTTTTTTGTTATATATTTTATATTTAACTCATCTAATCTGATTAGTAATTAATACTGGTATTATTCATCCTAAAAAAACAAAAACAAACAAAAAAAAAAAAATTGGCTCTCTACGTATAGAAAGCATTTCCATTCAATTATCTCTGTACTACGACATTTCTCAGGAGTGTGTGCAACTTATCACAGTATAACTGTTCACAATTTATAATAGAAAATTCCCTCATAGTCAGCTTCCAGCATGGCTCAACTACACGTCCTTCGAGCCCAGTGTCCGTCAACTCGGAAAGTATGCTTTTACCACCGGAAAAAAGCAGCAACAGTACGCCAAGAAACGCATATAAGAGCCGTAAATCTTTATCATGCATGTCTAGATCTAGCCAGTACTAGACGAGGCGGGAAAACGCATCATCCCACCAGGAATGTTCACAAAGCTTAAAAAGATGCTCGATGAGCTCAGAGATATTGCTACAAGTAATGGGATCAGTAACGTAAGCGACGTTCCGTTTCCGATAGGTATTCCGCATCCCTCCCACGCCGTCACATGTCAGTGCGATGATTCCACCACAGACTTAATTAATACAGAAACAATGCCGTCATTATTAGAGGATAATAATGTTCCTAAAATTTCATATGCTAATGCTGTAGCAAAGGTACCAAGAAAAAATAACCCAACTATTTTGCTATACCCAAAGCAAGAGCTAAAATGCCATATTACAGAGAAACTAAATCAGATCCTTCCCCTCAAAGAAATAAATGCCAATATTGATTATATAGCAAATATTAAGAATGGAGGCATCGCGATCAGCAGCACTTCAAAGGAAGAACTCAACAAGATTACTAACGCCATAAACGTTTCCGAAGAAGCAAATAACTTAATAGAAATAAAAACACCAAGGGTTAAAAAACCGAAAATCTCAATCAATAATATCCCGAATACGTTACCACCAAAATTAGTTCTCGAAGAACTAGTTGACCAACTAAGGATTGATAAAGAGGAGATTTCACCTCTCTTTTACACAAAAGGCAAAAACCCCAACACCATTAAGTGGGTTCTCGAATGCTCCCCTCGTACTCTATCAAAATGTATTGAACGTAGGAAAATTATAATTAATTGGAGCATTCTCCCAATCGCAGAATTCTACGGAGTGAGGAGATGCTACAGATGCCAAGATTTCTCACATTCTGGTAGTGCATGCAAATTTAGGACTTATTGCGCTTTCTGTGGCGGACCTCACTCCATAAGGAATTGCAAAGAAGACGTACCGGATTGTATCAACTGTAAACTGTTCAACTGCACATATGGAACCTACATCAATACTTCACATGCTGCATTTCCCCCCAAATGCCCATTATATCAGAGGGAAATCTCAAAAATTAAAGCTGCTGCAGTTTACACATCAAAGCAAGAAGATAGTTAGCTTACTACCTAGTTTCTTTTAAGTTAACTTATACCTAGTTTCTTTTAAGTTACCCTAGTTTCTTTTTAGTTTACCTAGTTTCTTTTAAGTTAACTTAAACTTTCCTTTCTGTACATGAATCCATCAAGTACTACCGCCGCCCCTTCAAGTTCCCCCCAATCTCAACTGTTTACTGTTTACGACAATTTTACACAATAATTCGCCTCCACAGGACAAGCTTAGAATCCTTCAAATAAACTTAGGCAGAGGAAAAAAGGCGTCAGAACAACTTAGTGAAGTAATTGAAAATAACAATCATGATGTAATTTGCATTACTGAGCCGTATTGCGTAAAAGGTGAAGTTAGATGCCTTCCCCTTCACTGGCAAATATTTCAATCTACCGAAAAGGATCCTCTAGTTAACCCACGTGCCAGTATTATAGTCACCAATACCAAATGGTCCCCTACAATTATATTAAGCCATAGAGATGTGATGACGATAAGTATTAACTGTAAATCAGAACAGCTATTAATTACTTCCATTTACTGCTCACCACGAGAGGATATGGGGCCGAATCTCCACACATTAGAAAATATCTTTAGTAATCTCAGAAGATCACAGCACGTGATTACAGGTGACTTCAATGCTCACCATCAAATGTGGCATTACAATAATACAGATAATAGAGGACATACACTAGCTGACTTTATTGCTACACACAATCTGTATATACATAACCTCTCTTCAGACACTCCTACATTTGAAACAACAAATGGTAAAGGATGGCCGGACTTGACACTGTCAACATTGAGTATCTCCAATAAAATACAAGAATGGAAAGTTCTTGATGATCCAAGCCACTCAGATCATAACTACATCTCATTTGAATTATCAGAAGAAATCCCCGACCTCAAATTAAGACAATTTGGAAGAAAAATCTCCACATGTCTTCAGTATGCGGAGAAACTTATAGATAAATGCACATCACCCGATGCAGTCCATGATTTAATGGAAACAATTATCAAAACAATACAGGAGACAGCGACCAACACATTTAAACTCCGTAACAACAACAAGATTACGAAGACTAACTGGTGGACAAAGGAATTAAGACGTGAAAAGCAACATACAAAGGCCCTTCGTAGAAAAATGAAAAGTGCTCCGGAAGGGTTGAAAATGGAAAATATGGATAAAATACAAGCAACAATTAGCAAATTACAAAAAGAAAATAACTGAAGCAAAATTACGCAGCTGGAAGAATTACTGCTGTAAGTAATAAAGAATACATACGGCCAGCTGTATAAAATGGCTACAAGTAAAGTTTTTAGTCCCGCACATATCGGTCTTTCCGAGAGATCAACTCTCACATAACAGCCAGCTTGGTAATGTCACTGAAAAGATTCTCAACAAATATTCTAGATGTTGTCTTCCTAAAAGATAATGCAGAAGACGATGGCCACTCACATTCCGATATTAGATACAATAATACCGCTCCAAATACTCCAGACGATGTGGAATTCCACTCACAAGAAATTTCAAAAATTATTAAGTATCTTCCGAATAATAAAGCTCCGGGACCTGACGGATTAGACAACAGGATTATTAAGATAATTCACCACGCAATGCCTTTTCTGTTCCACAAACTACTAAACCTCTGCCTCAAATTTTATGTCTTCCCGAATTGTCTCAAACAGGGACAAAACAATACTATTCAAGAAAAATAATAAAGATCCTACGGATCCGGAAGCCTTCAGACCAATCAACCTCTTACCTGCAATAGGTAAACTTCTGGAACGTGCAATCGCGGGCAGATTACGCCACCACTTAGAGAAAAACGAAACCATAAGCCCCAACCAATACGGCTTCAGACCTCTCAAATCTACATCACATGCGATAGTAGAACTTCAAGAGCAGATCCGTAGGAATAAATCTTCAGCTCTCCATACAGCAGTACTCTGCATGGATCTCAAAAATGCATTTGACTCCATGTGGTGGCCTGGTATCCTTGAAGCCTTGCGCAACATTAAATGCCCTCGGAACATATTCAAGCTAATGAATAGTTTCCTAACAAACAGAGCAACGATAATCATCAGCAACAACTGTATAGTAGAAAGAAGAATAACGAGGGGCTGTCCACAGGGCTCTTGTCTAAGTGCAGACCTGTGGAACATCACCTTCAATTATATCACCTCCAAGTGGCCGGACCATACAAAGCTCATCGCCTTTGCCGACGATGTGGCCTTTGTAACAAATGGGCATTCAAGAGACATACTAGAAAAGAATAGTAACGAGACTCTCTCCATATTCCATTCCCTCTGCGTCAATCAAAAACTAATAATTTCAGAATCCAAATCACATATTATTTTATTTCCAAAACCGGGCAAATCGCTACAAAGGCTACCTTGCATTAAAATCAATAATAGAAGAATCAAGATCTCAAAAGAAATCAAATTCCTCGGATTGAAAATTGACCAAAAGTTTTCTTGGATCCCACACCTCATGGAAATTCGGAAGAAGACCCAAACTATTTCTAGAGCCCTCGCAAGGACGCAAGGCACAACGTGGGGCCTCAAGTCGAGGATGCAAAAACATTCTCTATAATACCGTGATCGAAAAAATAATCCTCTACGGGGCATCAGCATGGACTCACCCTATGACAGTGAAAAAGAAAAGACTCTTAGCTTCGATCCAACGCCCCTTCCTCTTACAAATAGCAAAAGCATACAGAAACTACCTCAACGGCAGCTCTCTGTGTATTAACAGGAATCCCACCCCTCCACCTGAAAGCAAAAGAAGATGCAGACTTAGCCACGTTATTCCACCTCAAGAAAAACATAGAGGTAGAAGATCAAAACCTGTGGCCCCTTGATTTTGAACAGCCACGAAATCCTTACCTAAGACACCCTGCAGTACATGCAAAACTCAGAATATCTACAAAAGAAGACACCCTCAGTGTACCTTCATTTCCAGTCGTGTACACAGATGGGTCAAAGTTAAACGAAGAAGTAGGATGCGCGTTCTTTGCACTCCTCTCAGAACAAGATACAACAGAATGGAAAGGACACCTAAGGAACAACAACAGCGTTTTCCAAGCTGAGCTTTCAGCCATAAAACACGCTATTCTATGGTCTCATCAAAAGCATCTAACATATGTTACCATCTACAGTGATAGCCAAGCGGCAATTAAAGCTGTCAATGATGCAAGAAACAAATCATCAATAGTGCAAGATATCTACGATTTATTATCACAGCGCAAGAGAACATCTATAAAAATAAAGTGGGTAAAAGCGCATGCTGGACAAGCCCAAAATGAAAGGGCAGATGCGCTTGCTAAAAATGCAGCTCAAGACCCATCTCTACCTCCAATCAATGTCCCATTCCCTAAATCGTATGTGAAACATATGTTGAAAAAAATTACATTAAAAAAATGGCAAACTGAATGGGAAAATGCAGAAGTAGGTAGAAGGCTTTTCAACTTCTACAAGAAAACCCACATATGATCCAATCTCTTATAACTTTCTTCATCAACATCTTTCTTATCTGGACATGGTCCTTTCCCCACGTACTACTTTGCACGAAATTTGAGCGAATTCAGACAAGTGCGTATGTGGGGGAAAAGGGAGACCCAGAGCACTATATTTTCAAGTGCCAGCTCACAAAGAGCTACACTGCAAAGGAAGGTCACAAATTACGCCTGAGTACATTAAATGCTTGCTAACGATACCTCAATTTACAACAAAAGGTTTCCTTGATTATGAAGAAACTTTTCTCATATAAAAGAGAAGACATATGTCAAGATGCTATCGCATCTGTATAAATACCTCTTATTCTACAACTTGCAAAAATAATGCAAGATTTCAGAATATTGCAAGTGTCTGAAACAGGCTAAATATGGTATAAATAGTTTTTATAAAATAGTTACATTAAGAATTTGGACTGTATTAGTGTAATAATTAAATCATTAATTAAAAAATAATGTAAATAATATACGACTCTATTAGATATATTAGTGTAAATGTAAGTATTATGTGATTTTCTAATGTATATTTTCTGTATTTATGATACATTAATTTACAAAAATAATAATGTAAGACTTCAGTGCTGATGCATTTGTGTGTAACAAGTTAAAAAAAATGAAAGGAAATGTATTAATAAGAGAATTCGCCTTAGTAATTCAACTAAGTATGATAAAATGCACAAAAAAAAAAAAAAAAAAAAAAAAAAAAAAAAAAATCTTCAATTAGCTCCTTAAAATGATGTTTATTTTAATTCGATGTAACTAGATATACTAATGTAAATATATTGTTTGTATGAAGTACAATGTACAATGAAAGTTTGTATGTATGTTCGAAGTAATTATGTTATTTCAATCTGCCATAATCCAACTTTTGTTGATAGGTTAATTTCTTTGCAATAATTGTATACTATGTCTTTGTAATTGTATATTCAATACGTAAGTCTAATATTAATATAAAATTACTATGTAAATGTCTTGGTAGGCTAGCATCCGATGCGGGCCAACTGAAAGCCCAGCGGGGTACAGTAGTGCGGCGGAGCAACACCTGTAAAAGTCACTGACGAAGTTCTGGTGCTCCGTCCACTTTTCCCTGTCCCTGTGTCCATGTACACATCGATCTGTTTTCACTTAAAAAAACATCCTAGAATTGCACAAAACTAGGCATTGCGCACTGCCTTAAATTTGTCCATGTACATATCAATCTATTTTCATTTAAATAAAATCAGGAAGCTAAAAACAAGGTTAAAACTATCATGGTAACCAGAAGTGAGGTTTCATCGCCAAATTTTTTAAAAAATTGTTGCTAATCGAAGGGGCACCCAATTCTACACTAGAGCCCAACGAACTACATAGCAGCCCTACAGGAGGTCACTTTGGAATAATGAAGACTTTGCAGAGATTTTGAGAGCGCTTCTATTGGAGTAATGCAAAGATAACGTGCAGAAGTGCTGTCAATCTTGCGATGCCTGTGCGGGTCGGAAAGCGCCGAAGAAACGTAGCTGA